TAAACAAAGCAAAGATGTAAGTCTCGAACTTCCGGTTCGGCATCAAAGGCGTACCCTTCCCGGACTGAACATGCTTGATCAAGTTACCGTTGTAGTCTACAGCGTTCTGAACCGAGCACACTGGGAACTCGCAAGCCGAAGGCCAACCGGTCTCGGCTGCAATCAAGTCCACGTCACCGAACCCGATTGCCTTGGCAGCTGAGTAAACCGCGTCCATCAACCCATCGAACATGTTAGTGTAAAACTTGCCAGTGACTGTATCGTGCACACCCTGATTGGGTCTGAAGAGAGCGTAGTTCTCTTTTTCGGGTGACCACCCGAAATACGGGTACGGGTTAACCATGAAAGGCGACTTGGTCTGTGTACAGAACTTAAGCATTTGAGTCAGAATTGGAATCACCTCCGGTCTGAATCGGCCCGTGCTGGGCGGCTCAGAAGACAACATGATTCCCAGCGAGTGAGGGGTCGAGACCTTGATGTCTTTGATCCCCTCTTGGGCCAAAGCGCTGTGGAAGGTCTCCATGGCAGGAACTAGGCTCGACTTGAGAGCGTCGTCCCCCCAGTGGAGGACCTCGTTGCCCAAGGCAATGTATTTGATTTTGCTTGCCGGGTAAAACGGCTTGACATGATCAGTGATCCAACGGCGAGCGGTTTGTAGGTTTTTGAGGCTCGGAATTTCTCCGTTTGGGACGGTAATCGTCAAGGAGATGTTGGTGTTGGCGAAGGCCTTGATGATGTCTGGGTTGGCGTCGAAGAGTTTGACGGCATCGATGTTGGTTTGGGTTTTGATGAAGTCGGCGACTTTGGCCGGTGGCGGGAGGTTGTCGGCGAGAGTACCATAGTTTACGCCGATGGAGTAGGCTGTGGCGGCGAGCTGGACGAGGAGGAGAAGGGATAGGAGGAGCTTGGCGGTAGCCATGGTTGTTTTTTTCTTTTTACTGGTGGTGTATCGGGAGGTGGTGGACGCTCTCCTTTTTCTTTGGAGGACTTGGGAGTTTGTGGCCGAAGTATTTATAGTGGGGAAAGGTGAAAGAAATTGAGGACAGGAAATAAGAAGATAATGGACGAATGAGATCGTGACGTGTGTTGGTCAATATCTATTTTATTTGTGATTTCTATTTACTGCTAAATTCTGTTGGATTTTCTTGATGTATGCTAATTATTTGGAGGAATTTTATCTTTTTATTACACATCAAAACCTAAAAATAACTCCACGTCCAGAGTCCGAAGGTTGATATACTTTTATCACTCTTCTTTGTATATGAAAGTGTGTATTGTCGTGACGAAACTACTAACTGATCTTCTCTATTATCTATTTAGTCATGTATTAGCATTAAAATAACTTATCAGATAGTTGGAATGAATGTACATATAACTTTTTTTATCTCTCGTCTATCATTATCACGTAAAGGACAAAATACGTAACAAACTTGGCTTACGAAATTTCGTTTGCTTGTTGCTTGATTACCTTGAATCCTAATGTAGCTAGGTTACGTGTAATTTGTTGTCAAAATTGTTTGGGGCTCATAACATCTGAAAAAGCTTAAGGTAGAACGAAGTGCAATGCATAGAGAAGCATCTCTAGCAGACGTTGAGATATTGAAATGTTAACTTTTGGCTTTGGATTGATGACACATGCCAACTCATCTTTGGCACTTGGCTAGGGACAAAACTAGCGGACATCCAGAACATTTGTCGCACATGGTGTTGCAATTTTTTTTTTTTTTTTTAATATTTACAATTTGATTGATGTCGGCGACAATTTTTAGAAAATGTTTATGTTTATTAACACTATATCTTAAATTTATAAAGCATCATTCACATCGTCTATTTACATTATGCTGTATGAATTAATGGCGTCACATAACTGTATTAATCTCACTCATCAAAATCCTATTATATAGTCCCCCAACCATGTATAGTTAATTAAATAAACATTTGAGTGGCATGAGTATCCATATCTCAACAGAAGTCATACTTCGCCGGTACCATAAGCTTTTTTGTACTAAACCCTAAACCCATCTATGTTTTTTGTACACCTTCCCATCTCTGTTTATTAACTTAATTTGTGGTTGAAGGCACATGAAGAATGTGGACATCAATTTTTACCAAATTGAAATTAAAATGGGACACTTTGGCAGATAAACAGGGAGATCCACGGAGCAGGATAAGAGAGGAAGGAAAAGAGATGGAGAGTGCGGCGTCCAGAGGCAGCGGAGGGTAGGAGGGATGGTTGACGGAGTTTTGGAGGACGGCGTTTTTCTTTACTTTATTTTCCAATTTTTTATTTTATTTTCTGAAAGGGATAAAATGAATTTCAAATCCAGCTGTTAAAATAACATACACACGTTGGATTCTGAATGAAAATATCACCGTTCAATTGGTGATACGGTTACCATCTAATAATTTCTCGTGAAGGTGAGAGCCAGTGTCCAAGAACACACAGGTCGGGTCCCATTTATGAAATAAAAAACAAAGAAAATAGAGTTTGGGCCCTTAATATGGCCTGACTCACTGATTTTTGTTGCTAGACGTGACCTAAATTTTACTACCCAAGCAAAAAAATTGCAAAATTATGTGACAAATGTAGTCTCATTTTTCTGCTCATTTTATAGTACTTTAAATATAAAAGTTCTAAGAAGGATAAAGCACCCATTGAGAATGCTCTAGCACACCAAGACTAAAAGGCACCTACTCTTATTGTTTGTGTATTTTCTATTTGTCTACCTCCGTCATAATATTTTGAGCAGTGTGTCTTTTAAAGATTTTGTTTTTATTTATCAATAATCATGTTTGGAGTGAGTTCAATAATAATTTATGGTCACTTAGTACTACGGTCTAGTTATATTCTTCTTTATCTGTAAATAAGAGATCTTAGGTTTTATTCTCACCAAAGGCGAATTTAAACCACATTATTGCAAGCTTATTATAAGACTAAGTCCATTCTCCCTCCTCATTAGTATAGATAATATCATTTGTTTAAAAATAATAATAATAATTAGTGGCCCCTGTGACTTGTGGATGAGATAACCACCTCTTCTTTATGTGTATTTGTAAATCTCCAAGTGAAAAAAAGTGCCAAAACATTCCCTAGGTAAGCAATTTGGAATCATTTTATTGTGATGGTTAAACTATAGTCCTTTTTCTCTGTGTTATATATAAAATGGTTTTTTGAACAAAAAAAAAAAGATAAAATGGTTTATACCAAACCTTGCCCATTAAATTAGTCTTTTTTTTTCAACAAAAAAAAAACTATAGTCCTTTTTTAATGTTAATATTTTATATGGTTACATGAGTGAATTAATAACACAAAATGATTGTCTGGTTAGTCAAATAAAAGAATTACTGTCTTAAGCTTGATTCAGGAAAAAAAAAAATCTATAATGAGTTAAAAAGAATTCGCTATCCTTCACTAACAATAGATTCATTACATGAATAACACGTGACAAATAGACATGAGAAAAATGATATATAAGGACCGCATCATAACACTTCCGACCACTCTAACTCTCTCACCTGATTATTAAGGCCTGGTTTGGTACTGAGGTGATTTTGAAAAAAACTGGTATAAAAAAAAGTTGGAAGCTGTTTTTGTGTTTGGTAAACATTCAGCTTTAGTTTTTTTTCACAGTTTTGGATGAAAAAAAGCCAAAAACAAGAAGCTGCAAAACCCAACTTTGAAAAATCGGCTTTTTTTTCACATCTGTTTTACATAAAAGTTTACCAAACACTATAATACTGTTTTTTTTTTTCTTTTTCAAAAGGACTTTTACAAAAAAATTTACCAAACACTCAGCTACTTTATTTCACAGCTGCTTATTCTCACAGCATAGCATAAGTAATTTTTTTTCAAAGCACAACAATACCAAACCAGCTGTAAGATTGTTGCGGTGGTGTGGTCCTATGCACTACAAGCACATACTAATGTTTGATTCGAAGACAGAATTTGATGATTTAAGCAAACTCCTTAACGCTCAAAACTCATTGGTGAAACGATTGGGAAAACAAATTGAGGGGAAAAGTTGTAGGAAGTAAGAGGAAAAGTAATGAAAAAAAACAATGGACGAATATGTGGATCCACAAAAGCATTCAAGGAAAATCCAGGTTCGGAATTGTTAATTATCATTTGATATCTAATACCTTTCCCAACTCTTTGATGTACATATACAATATCATTAAAAGTAATTATTTTTGCACACTTTTTCTTCTTCTGTAAATTTTTATTTATTTGAGTCTCTTAATTTTTATTTATTTATTTAATTTAAATTATAAAAAATAAACAGGGGTAAAAATTATTTCCTTATCTCGAATTTGTACTCAGTTTTGGATTTTAACTCATGATCTATGGCATTTTAATTGTAAACTCAAGTATTTAGTTATACCAAGAAAACATTATTATAAAATAAAAAAAATAGGGCAATAATTTTCATCTTTAATTCTATCAAGATAATCAACTTTAGAGGTACCATTTTTGTCTTCAAGCTAATTCCCATGACAATATATTCTATTTAGTTCTCCCAAATTTTTATATTTTATTTTGTAAAGAAATATAAGAACCTTTTTTTTTCTTTTTCTTTTTTTTTTTTTTTGCCAAAAAACTATTTACAACAAAATGTATTGATCTGAGCCTATCACTTATAGGAAAAATGCAAATGGAAAGTCCAATTTGATAAACCAAAATATTATTGTGAAGATTTAACCAAATCAATTTGGTAAACCAAAATATTATTGTAAAGATTTAACAAAGTCATCAAATGATTAAATATCAAAACACAAGCAATTACATGCATGTTGCACTCACTTGTTACACAGTTTATTTAATCTTCTTCTTAAAAAAATAAAAATAATAAAAAAAGATTTCAGCCCTATTTTAGCTAATTAGGGTCAAGAAGAATAAATTTCCTTTATTTTTTTGACAAATAATAAGATAATTATATTGAATTCATTTAAACTACGAGAACTACAATTCAAACACAGAATCTCATGCGCATGATCCAATGCTCTTAACCATCATATAGTAATTAAATTCCAAATACACCATAATCATCAACATCCCACAAAAAAATTAAAAAAAATTAGAAAGAAAAAAAGTCACGGTCAACAACATATCTTCCGTTCCTCATATCATCTACTCAAGCTCAAGCGTTGTATTTACAAGAGCCGTGGCTTGGGTCGGTGGTGGTGATTTGTCCGGACCCAGAGAAATCACAGTTGAAGTCGTGACGGCCGTTAGCCTGGTAGTAAGCATTCATGAGGTAAGACGCGCGGGCTCTAACGTCGTTATCAAAGCAAGCGCCGCCTGGCTGGATGGACTTGCAATCAACGCCGGTGCTGCAGACATAGTCAATGTTTGATTGCAATGCTTGGTTGCTGGCTGCTGATTTTGCCACGCACCACTTCTTGCCTCCTGCCACCGGTGTTGTCGGCGTCGCTGGTGTTGATGGTTTCGCTGGTCCGGCAGGCTTTCCCGGAGTTGCACCATCCTAAATCACACAACGATTTAGCATACATAAGACTAACGTCATTCTAGCATAACAATATAGCATATGTGAGTTAAGTCAGAACGTTAAGACGGTATGTCCACCACCTTGAAATATCGATAAAAATACATCTTTGCTACAAATTCAAAATTTGTACGATGACAATTCAATTTGGTTAATATGTAGCCTCACAAAGAACATGAAGTAACTACTAAAATTATGTGTTTGCATCAAATGGCGATTCACATTCTACCATTTTTGTGTGATTACTTGTACATCCACAAATTTTGTTCAACAAATAAGGTTGAGTAGTACCGATGACACTACTCTTTACTATATTTAGCTAATATGACAATGTTTTATTTGTTTCTTGACTCGTTATGACACATAGTTATTACATTTAAATTAGAAATTTACACATAATTAATAACCGAAAACTGATTATGTCTCTCTAACTAGGTGTGTAATTTTTTATTTTGTGATTCAAAAAAGTTCACCTCGTTCGGCTTAAGATTTTCCTAAAAATCATAACTAAAAACTAGGAACATTTTTGCTCACCACTTCAGACTTTTGAGTATACTTATCATACACCTAAGTATCTATCACGTGTCATTTTACTTACCTAGGATTAATATTTTTAAAATAAAAAAATAACATTTAATATAAAAATTAACTAAAATTAAATGAAAGAATATTGATAAATGGTTAGGCGCATGATAAACATGCACCCTAATTATAATGGCCAGCAAAAATATCCGCCTGAAAACTGATATCATTTGATCACTTTACACTTTACTTGGTGAGACCGGATGAATTATATTATTTTTCAGGCGTGCAGAACCGGAACCCGACTTCTCTGCCCTATCATGTTAATATTTTATATTAATGTTTTTATAAAAACAATAATGATATAAAAAATTGACGTGATTTAATATTGATTGTACAAATAAAAGAAGATAAAAAAAAGATGAGAATGTATGGGACCGGAGGGCAGAGAAGTCAGGTCCACAGAAACGTTCCCTGCAACATTATTTAATTTAACACAAGAACCAAGACACCGAATCTAGAAAATTTGCTTAATCAACGGTGCATGTGACCGACATTTTAAAGTAAAAAGCGTACGAATTAACAAATAAATATTTAATACAAAAACCAAAAAACAAATAAATATTTAATCAAGAACCAACCTGCTGATTGCGCATAACCCCAGCATTGTAAACCGGAGTCATGTCCGGTTTGAACAGCCCAAAGTTCTTCTCAGCGGCCGAACCGGGTTTCTGGTTCTCATTAAACAAAGCAAAGATGTAAGTCTCGATCTTCCGGTTTGGCATCAATGGCGTACCCTTACCGGACTCAATATGCTTGATCAAGTTACCGTTGTAGTCCGCAGCGTTCTGAACCGAGCAGACTGGGAGCTCGCAAGCAGAAGGCCAACCGGTCTCGCCAGCAATCAAGTCCACGTCACCGAACCCGATTGCCTTGGCAGCTGAGTAAACCGCGTCCATCAACCCATCGAACATGTTAGTGTAAAACTTGCCGGTGAATTTATCGCGCACACCACTGTTGGGTCTGAAGAGAGCGTAGTTCTCCTTTTCGGGTGACCACCCGAAAAACGGGTACGGGTTAACCATGAAAGGCGACCTGGTCTGGCGACAGAACAGGAGCAATTGGGCCAGAATTGGAAGCACCTCCGGTCTGAACCGGCCTGTGCTGGGCGGGTCAGAAGACAACATCATTCCGAGCGAGTGAGGGGTCGAGACCTTGACATCCTTGATCCCCTCGCGGACCAAAGCGTTGTGGAAGGTCCTCATGGCAGGGACGAGGCTCGACTTGAGAGCGTCGTCCCCCCAGTGGAGGACCTCGCTGCCCATAGCAATGTATTTGATTTTGGTTGCCGGGTAAAACGGCTTGACATGATCAATGATCCAATGGCGAGCGGTGCGTAGATTTGTGAGGCTCCGGATGTCTCCGTTGGGGATGGTAATCGTCAAGGAGATGTTGGTGTTGGCGAAGGCCTTGATGATGTCGGGGTTGGCGTCGAAGAGTTTGACGGCGTCGATGGTGGTTTGGGTTTTGATGAAGTTGGCGACTTGGGCCGGTGGCGGAAGGTTGTCGGCGAGAGTACCGTAGTTTACGCCGATGGAGTAGGCTGTGGCGGCGAGCTGGACGAGGAGGAGAAGGTAGAGAAGGAGCTTGGTGGTGGCCATGGTTGCTTTTTTCTTTTTGTGGTGGAGTTTTGGGAGGCGGTGGATCCTCTCCTTTTACTTTGTAGGATTGGGGAGTTGGTAACTTGGAAGTCGTATTTATAGTGGGGAAAGAGATAGGACATCAGAAGATAAGGGACGAATGGGATTGCGACATGTAGTTGGGCAATATCAGTTTTGTTTGTGATATGGGTAATGAATCTAATGACAGGGATACAAAGCAAAATTTGAAAATTAAAAAATATAGAAGTTGATGTTTTGTTTATTACTTAAACGTTAATAAATTTACGACACATCATTTAATTTATAAATTTTGTTTTTAAATTTAATCTCACTTGCATTATCCTTATGATTTTTATTTACTGCTAAATTATGTTGAATTTTCTTGATGTAAGCTAACTGTTAAGATGAATTTGATCTTTTTATTACACTTTCAAAACCTGAAAATAACGAACCCTAAAACGAATTATCTATTTGGTCATATTATCACATAGATGATAGAAAAAATTTATCAGACAGTTAGAATAGATGTAATATCACCCTTGTTCTTTTTATCTCTCGTCTCTTATTATCACGTAAAGAAAAAATATGCCATAAACAAGTTCTCATAAAATTTCATTTGCTTTTGTTGCTTGACATGAATCCTAAGCTAGGTTACATCTATTGTTTGGGACTCATAACATCTCAAAAAGCTCAAGGTAGAATCAAGTGCAATGCATAGAGAAGCATCTCTAGCTGTCGAGAAATTGAAATGTTAACTTTTGGCTTTGGGTTGATGATACATGCCAACTCATCTTTGGCACTTGACCAGGGACAAAACTAGCCGTTTTTGTAAGATTCAAACATCTTTGTATCATACCCCATGTTCTTTTGGCAAAGATGGAATATGATATGATTTTTATATTGATGATATTGCCACATTGTTACACTGCAGTGTTGTGATTTTTTTTTTTTTGAAATATTTACTTAAAACATCATTCAGATCGTCCACTCACAATACCATGCGTATAAAATAGTAACACCATACATAACGATGTTAATCTCACACTCACCAATTTCTGTTACATAATCCCTAATTGTATATCTCTACTAATTAATAAAACACTTATTATCAATCAAAATCATATGAAATTACAATTTAACCTTCTAAATATAAAATATGGTGCAGAAATATAATTTCACATAATTAAATTTTACTTTTTTTTTTTTTTGTAAAAGTCTAACCTACCTATAATCCTAATATATCTCTAATTAAAATAAAAAAATTAAATAAAAAAAAATTTCGCTCCCACATTCTTTATCACTTTATCTCTTTTTACTTTTATTTCAAAAACAAAAATAACAAATTTTTTTACATATTTTATGTGTACCTATATACTAGTGGTTAACTATAGAAAGATTTGAGTGGCGTGTTTGGTGATGGGTGGTCAAAAACAGATGTCATACTTGACCAGGACCGTAAGCTTTGGCATCCGATACCTCATCGTCATCCATCGACCATCTTTGATTCCACGCGTTTAAATCTCAGAGTGAGCAAAGCATCTCCAAAACTTCGATGTTCCAACTAGGAAAGGATATCTCTGGATTACTTCTACCAAATTCACTTATCTGAATCATTAAAATTTGATTGAACAGTTAAAATTATTATAATTTTTAAATGAATTTCTTGTTTGTAATCGTTGATCAAATTTTAATAGTGGATATTTGATGAAAATGAACCTTCGTTCCAACTGGGAACACGACAGAAACCTTTTGACCTAAACTTGCCCGTTTAGATACCGTGTTGGATTTCCATTGGCTGCCCAGAAAAATAATTGTCTAACAGATGGGGCCGCGACAGAAAAAAATTATGGCGCTGGAATTGCGCACATTGATTTTGTTGTCATATTACTTTTCTTCTTTTGTTGTCAGGAAAGCACTAAAGTGATGTGTTCACGCGGTTTCTAGTTTGTAACGTTGTAGACTAACATTAGGCTGATGGTGAGGGCTAAAATGTCCGAGAACACACAGGTCGGCACACATTTAACACACGAGGCACTTACTCTTATTATTTTTCTGCAAGGTACCAAGAAACAGAGTTTCAATTTTTTTTTTTTGTCAAGTTAGATATTTTTTACTACATTAAAAACTAGCACATGTATTAAAAATAAAAAAAATAAAAAAAACTAGTACAAGGCCCCAAATAAAAAACTATGTAAACAATTCCAAATAAAGTAAAAGGTCAAAGTAAAATGAGAACTGCAGTTCAAGATACAACAAGAGACCAACACATGCTTAAACTCAAAGGTTGCAAAAACAAACAACAAAAAAACCTAATCTCCACCAGCATAAACAACATTGTCGTCGCCGCCACATTCTCAGAGGGAGCCAAACTCCGAACCTAAGAGAGTATACACCATATCCAAGTCTCAATCATGAACTCCTACAAATATATACAAACAAAATATCCTATGTGTAGAGAGTGGGGCTAAAGGGGTATTATACATACCAAACACTTGGCCTTGATGGGGATCCGGAATGCCAATTGGGGGAAGGAAAATGGATATGATATCCAATTTCTTATCGAAGCACACTGATTCGAGCACATGGTGGGATGGGGATGAAGTATCACAGCTAGGGAGGAGGGAGCAAGGAAAATTAAAAGACAGAAAGTAGTAAAAGCAGGCAAAAAAGGCCAGATAAGGGGCATGAAGCCTGAATCTGAGACAAGTTTAGGGATAGTTGAAATCCAGCTTACGAAAAACTGAGATAATATTCAAGAGATAACCGAGAATGAAGACGAAGGAAGGAAACTAGAAAGGGGGAATGAATAGGAGGTGGATGCAAGGAGGGGGGAAGGGGCAGAGGAGATGAGAAGAAAGGAAAAGGAGGAAAGGCCAAAGAAGAGACGAGGGAAGGAGAAGGAAAGGGAGGAGTAGCGGGCTGCCATCTACCCCGAGCAAGAGCAAGGGGCAGCGGCTGAAACTTCAAACTAGGGGGGCTGCTTATGAATTTAGAATTTGGAGTTCACATAGAGAGAAACCACGTAACTGCAACCCGCTTCGCCTTGTTTTCTTGTTTAAGAGAGTTTATATTTAGGATTTCATAATTTTGTAGCCCGGTTTGGATCGTCAGCCCAGCTGCTTAATATAATAGCTAATGGGATTGATTGGGATAATTCTGGCTGTTTATATGGTTTTTGGATTTAGTCCAATGCTGCCTTTGACAAATAAGAGCGACATGGATTTTGCTTAAACGAATAGAATTACAATAATGCTCAAGAAATACTAAACTTTGATTAACCTTAAGTTTAAGCTTATAATACAAGGTAGTTACATACTTATACACTCTAATTAGTCGTCTTCATTCTTTTTAAAGAGCATGAACAAATGGCTGACATGCAAACTATTCAGCTTGTTTTGGGGTAGCGCGTGATTATAGTAAACTTGGTGTGTATGACACCACATAAATTACATGCACACAATTTATGTCTTAGAAGGAGTTTAAACCTTGTACATATTTGAATGACAAGGCATTTGCCTCTTTTCAAATGGAACATTAGTGTAAAACTCTAGCTTGGTTTTTTCTTTGTTTTTGGAAGTCACTGCTTTACATATAGTTTTGATTATTTGTGTGTATCTTCTATTTTGTCTAGCTCTGTGATAATTTTTTAAGCAGTGTCTTTTTTTTTAATGTAGTTTTTGTTTCTGACAATCACATTTGGAGTGAGTTCTATAATAATTTGTGATCCCCTGTGATTTGTTATGGATGAGTTAACGACTTCTTCTTGATGTATATTTGTAAATCTCCAAATAATAAAAAATGCCAAAACATTCCCTAGATAAAGTTTTTTTTTTTTTTTTTGAAGAACTAGATAAAGTAATTTGGTATATTTTTATTCTAATGGTTAAATTATAGTCCTTTTTCTATGTGTTATATATAAAATAGGTTATACTAAATCATGTCCATTAATTATTAATATTTTATAGGCTTACATGAGTGAATTAATAACAAAGTCATAGTGTGGTCAGTCAAATAAAAAAATTATACTCTTAGTCTTGATTTGGAGAAAAATCTATAATGAGTCACAAAGAATTCGCTATCTTCTATTGGCAATAGTCTCATCACATGAGTAATACTTGATAAATACACATGAGAAAATACATATGGATTGCATCATAATCCTTCTGACCACTCAAACTCTCTCACCTGATTATTAAGATGTTGCGCCGGCGCAGTCCTCTATGCTACCAGCACATACTAATGTCTGACTCGGAGACAATCAGATAATTTAAGCGAACACTTTAACGCTCAAACCTCATTGGGGAGACGATTGGGAAAACAAATTGGAAGGAAAAGTTGTAGAAGTAAGAGGAAAAGTAATGAAAAAAAGCAAAGCACGAATGGTGCTACAAAAGCATTGAAGGAAGATCCAGGTTCGGAAATGTTAATTATAATTTGATATCTAATATATCTGCACACTTCCTTGATGTATATACAATATTGAAGGTAATATTTTTTGCACTTTTTTTTTTCTTTGGTACATTTTTATTTATTTTTATCTCGACATCCTTCTTTGATTTATTTAATTTAAATATAAAAAATTAACATCAGGTGGAGAGGAGAAAGAGACGGTAAAATTCACTTCCTTGTCATGAATTTTCGTACTCTTAGCTTTGGATTTTAACTCGTGATTTATGGATTTTTAATTGTAAACTCAAACACTAGGTATACCAAGAAAACAATATTATTAAAAATAAAATAAAAAACAATGATTTTCATCTCTAATCTATCAAAATAGTCAACTTTAGAGATACCTTTGTCTTGAAGCTAATCCCCTTGACAATATATTCTCTTTAGTTCTCCCAATTTTTTATATTTGATTTAGTAAATAAATATATAAGAGCTATTTTTTTCTTTAACTCTACAACAAAATGTATTGATCTGAGGCTATCACTTATAGGAAAAATGCAAAAGGGAAATCCAATTTGATAAACCAAAATATTTTGATATTAAATATCAAAACACAAGCATTACATGCATGTTGCTTGTGCAACAGTTTATTTATTTTTCATTTTAAAATGTTCTCCATTTACATGAA